TAACACAAAACACCATAAAATGACACAAAAATGTTTACACACCACCCCTTAACAATGTGTTACGTCCCCTTTGGCTTTAATAACAGCCTGGATTCGTGTAGGCATGGTCGTCTCACGAGCTTTACATTGATTGTTGCCAAAAGTATCCCAAATCTCTTGTAATTTTTCCCTCAAACAAGCAATATTGCGTTGCGGGTGAATACGCAAAATGACATTGAGATCTGGACTGCTTGAGGGCCACCCTAAAACACTAATATTGTGGTCTTGTAACCATTTCTTAGTCGTTTTTTTCCGTGTAACATGATGCGCCGTCTTGTTGAGAAACACAGTCTGCATCAGGTGATAATGTTCCAAGTGAAGGCAATCAACTTTGTTCTAAAATTGCTTGATATTTCTGAGCATCACAATTACATTTGTAAAGTGCAATTGTCCCACCCCATTTGCAGCCATACTGCTCCACACCATTACACCACTGGGGAATTTTATAGAACGCTTTAAGCAATCTTTGTGAAATGCTTCGTTTTTCGTTCTGATAACTCTTTTTCGATTATCGCCCACACTGATATCAAATCGAGATTCATCACAAAAAATGATGTTTTTCCAGTCTTGTTAAGACCACGCCTGCCCTACCCGAGCCCAAGCCAACCTCTTCTTTTTTGTTTTTCTGTTTTAAAGATGTTTTTTTTTCCCGTATTTAAAAAAGTATTTTCTAAGGCTCACTAATTTTAATCTAAAGATCTACTTACTTTATTAAAATGTAAACCAGATTTGTAGATCCACCTTTGACAAGAATCGCCAGAAAGATGAGCATTTGTTACTTCGTTCCATTTACAGACAGATTTCGTAATGTGTCTCTTCGTCCAGATTTGCAAATGGTTATCAGCCGCGCTCTCTACATTCTAGGGGTAACTTTTGGCCATCTTCCTGTGCTGTTTCCTGCAACTTCGATTGATGCTGTTTTCCCATAATTGCAATATCTGCCACTGTGGACATGGGCAAATTGAATTCCTGACCTATTGTCCTATTTTCACTTAATTGTCGAATTTCTTTCTGTGTCGCTTTGCCACATGCCATTTTTTCTTTTTACAAAATGTTAAAGTGTTCTGACAGGTTATAAAAATTATTTTTTGTTTTTCTCCTGTTACCTACCTAGATCAAACTATCAAATATGTGTGATGTCCGAACATTTATGTGTCAATTAATTTCGCTGGTTTTCCCATTTTTATGTTATGAGAGCATTAAAAATTAGTTTTTTGCTATTAGACTTAAGAGCGCGCTGCCAGAGTGGTGGGGGAGCTTATTGCCTTTAGTTTATATTGTTACCATTTCAAAGTCAGACGGATAACGGCAGATGGCGCTAATGTTGTCTGAAAGCACTGTTAAGTATCTTGTTTTTATCTCGAAAATTCGCCGCGTCCTTAGGAAACTTTCGGAGACTTTCGCTATATTTACAACAAGCACGTACTTTTGTAGTCAGGATATAAATAAAGAAAACAAGATTATGCTAGTTGGTGCATGACGTCACGCAGGACTTTAAAATCGGGATTCTCATTCTGAATTTGTGTTTTATGATTTAGGTGAAAAAAATTTATAGAACATAACGCAAAATATGCCAAAAAATTTGAAGAAATCGTTAGACCACCTTTAAAAATGCTATAAACTATAATTGAGCGCACTATAACAAGAGGAAGTGCAAGCGTTTTTCAAAATATGGTAGATACCTACTTATGCTAAAAGCATCTAAAAATTTTGGAGTAGATTACTACATAAAATCTAGCATAAAATATTGATTTACGTACGTACACAAGTTATAATTAATTGGATGAAAAATGGATTCGATATATTCTTTTCAATAGTAGACTTTACACTGGTTTGTAATTACATCCCTAGTTCTAAAATGAACTATTTTTAAAGGAAAAAAGCACGAAATAAAAATTGCACGCCAAGAAACAATTTGCTAAGCTATTAGTGCAGCGGAGAGCCGGCGCTAACTCGCTTATTTGAGGTAGTTTTTTTTTTCGGAGTAGAAAGAATTGGGACCCACACCATTTTGTTCAGAAATGTTTGAACCTTCAGAATCTCGCTTTACGACATTTTCCCGTGGTCCTGACAAAAGTTATAGGCCGCTAAAGTTGAACTTTACTCATTTTCGCGCGCGCGACTAGACCACCGAAAGTATTTATTTTCTCAGCAACTAAGCGATATACATCAATAATTCCTTTTGTAAAATGAAAGTACATTTATAGCAGAATCTAAAGCATTCATATTTACCTACCTTGTTATGCAAGTTTTTAGAAAAATGACCGTCAACTTCCAAAATTCGTGTAGCAGATGAAAAGTGCGCACTTTGAACTCTCATAACTTTTTATTTCACGATATCGATTTCCAATATTTATAGCTCATTCGATGCTCCAAAGCATTGTGATTATTTTATTTTCTATAACATTACCGTGAATTTTTCATAATAAAAAAGTTACGGTCATTTAAGTAAAAACCTACCCACCTCACCGAGTCGTGAGTCGCGAGTGAGACGGAGAGGGAAGGATAGTCAGCAGCGTTCGCGCAACAAGGAGCGATGCGTAAGAGGTTCTACTTTACTAAGAAATTTCTCTCCGAATACCAAAACTAGCTATTTAGGCCGTTTACAAATGCATTCCGCCGAGTTGCATTGTAAAATCTCAAACAATTCATTAACTCCATGTATTCGTTTAGGAGCCACCCTCAAAAAAGTGGTAAAGTTTCCATTTCTCCTTTAATTTTTTTCTCAGCGACAGTTAGAGACTGATGGTAAGTCTTCGAATAGGTTTTGCTGTATACCCTTTCCGGTTTTGCAAATAATTTTTCAAAATTTCTACCACAAAAAGGCACACCCCTCAATAGGGGTGCGAAAAAATGTTGATTTCGACGAAATTTGGTATCTGGTGGTTTTTGAATATAAAAATCACGAATCTGGAATTAGTTTTTGTAAATTCGAAAAAAATAATTCCACTGCAATTCTTGGCCGGACAACGAAAATTGACAAAATTCCACGAAGTTTGTTGTGTAGGTACATACAGAACAAAATTGTCGAACAGTTTTTCTTAAGGTCATTTTTCAAACAAAAGTTACACTCATTTGCAAATTGATCTTTCGGGTTAGAAAATGTTCTCCGACAGTGGCATAACAAGTACAGTAAACGTCAATATTACATGTTCTGCTACCTACATTTCACAAAAATTTGTCAAATAAAAAATGATAATTTTATCACAGCGAGCATTAATAACTTCGACATCAATGAGGAAACAGTCACAGATTAAGAATAAGTAGGCCATATTCTGTGGAAACAGACGAAGAAAATTCAACGCACAGTCCTTTTTCAAAAGCGAGATACATCGGCAGAAGAAATCCAAATTCCTCGTTTACCTATCACTAGATAACGACCAGATAACTGACTTTAACAGCCTAAGTTCATGCTGATAATCCTAAGTAAGTTCCGGTATCTACCATTCAATATACCTATGTATGCCGTTTTTGAATTCTCCACCAACGAGCTAAAATACCATCCTAACCATCGTCTAGTGAAATCAAAAAACAAGCCTGAATCTTTGGGACAAAATCATACCGTTGTCACTGCTGATCTTGCAATATACAGCACAGCACAAGAGATACCTAATGTGGAGTAACCCCCAAAATTTACAGGGAAAGATATCTATTTGTACCTATATATTTCACCAAAGAACTGAGATACATGGAGGTAATGAATTGTTTGAGATTTTACAATGCAATTCGGCGGAATGCATTTCTAAACGCTAAACGGCCTAAGTAGCTAGTTTTGGTATTCGGAGAGAAATTTCTTAGTAAAGTACGCATCGCTCCTTGTTTAGCGAACGCTGCTGACTATCCCTCCCTCTCCGTCTCACTCGCGACTCCCGACTCGGCGAGGTGGGTAGGTTTTTACTTAAATGGCCGTAACTTTTTTATTATGAAAAATTCACGGTAATGTTATAGGAAATAAAATAATCACAATGCTTTGGAGCATCGAATGAGCTATGAATATTGGAAATCGATGTCGTGAAATAAAAAGTTACGAGAGTTCAAAGTGCGCACTTTTCATCTGCTACACGAATTTTGGAAGTTGACGGTCATTTTTCTAAAAACTGTGCATAACAAGGTAGGTAAATATGAATGCTTTAGATTCTGCTATAAATGTACTTTCATTTTACAAAAGGAATTATTGATGTATATCGCTTAGTTGCTGAGAAAATAAATACTTTCGGTGGTCTAGTCGCGCGCGCGAAAATGAGTAAATTTCAACTTTAGCGGCCTATAACTTTTGTCAGGACCACGGGAAAATGTCGTAAAGCGAGATTCTGAAGGTTCAAACATTTCTGAACAAAATGGCGTGGGTCCCAATTCTTTCTACTCCGAAAAAATTTTTTGAACGATTTCGCGGCTCTCTCCGCTGCACTATATGTGTACCATAAACTGCGAAATCCTAAAGCACAGTTATTTTTAGAACAAAGGGCTACTGTGTATTGTCATATTGTGTTGGTGTTATTGACAAGCTCCGACCTTGTGTGGGTGTTGATTGTGATGCGATTTCATTGACTGTCTACTTTTAGTCCAGGAGGCAGCGACATTTTTTATGCACTCATTTCTATAAAGTTGATATTCTGCCATTTTGATAGTACGAGTAAACACAAAGTCTACCACTCACGCAAGATGCATAAAAAATTATTCAATTGAACTTATTTCTACAAAGATGAAATTTTTGTTTCAAAAAGTTAATGTCATTTCAGACACAAAAAAAATTGGTCTACCGATCGCCGATTTAAAATACTTTATTTAGAAAGAAATGTGGCGTTTGTTTTTTCGGGACGCCCACCATCCCTACTGACAGGGGCGAACCGTAAGACACCCCCTCACATATCGTATTTGGCATAATATGGAACCGACTTGGGACTGGGAAATACCTGTAACCACGCGGCGATGCAATACTTTTTTTTTTTTGTAGCCTCGTGTAACAAATGCAAACGTGGTACAACTAATTGGAAGGATTGGGGTTCGTTGTTGGAATGGAGGCCAGAGGATGGCAATCTCGAGGCAAGGAATTCACAGTGGACAGTAGCAATAATAAAACAATTCTGTGATGTCAGAAATTGAGCAGGGACAATGGAAAGCGCTTTCTACTGGCCACCTCAATGAATTGAGTATAATCTTGCAAATTTTAACCACTGATCGGTACACAATAATGTAGTTAGTGATAAGAATTTTGACAATTAACAATATGAGATGATGCGGGTAAGTGATAAGTGAATGGTAGGTGAAAGACGAGGTGAAAGACTTATCTTTCTGACGAGGGCTCCCTTTAGAACTATGTTCGTTACTCCGCAAGGGGTGGATTTCTTATGGTTCGACTCCGTGACTCAAGAACTAAAATTACAGTAATTGCGCATTGATTATTAAATGAGTAAGCATACTCACGTCCATATGTGGACTTCCTGATATTTAATTTTGTGCAGATTATGCACTTATAAATTACTCAAATGAGTTGGTAATAACGGCTTCTATTAATTGTATTAGGTAAATAACATGACCAACGGGTATCGAACTCGTTGCTGAAATACAAATAAGTGCTGAGTTATTATATTTGATGAGTTGAAACTTACATTTTCCAATTAAACAAATCCCAAAACGGCAAATAATCTTAGAAAATTATAAAACTCAAGAATTTAGCCTTGCATACATTTATACGCTTTAATAGCTCGAGCGTCAATGTCATCGTCCGCATTTATTCGTATTGATAAACGCACATAGATATTTATTGAATATGATAAGCGCCTAAAAGTTATATACAGGGTGGCCATTATCCTGTTACATACCATACTAAATTACTAAGTAAATTGTGGAACATAAGTTCATTTTCATAATATCGCGAGCAGTGGGATGTCATATCATATTTAATTGCTCTCATTGCGAACTATTAGATTTCGCATAGAATGCATACCTATCTCGTTGAGAAATGAATGAAGGATTAAGCAGCAATGCCGACTTCCTACATCATAGTAATAAATCTGTGATCATAGGTAGTAAAGCCATGCCATTTTGACCCAGTCTCAGTCTTGGATTTTGTGGTGTTGTAGCGTTTCTTTAGCATTTGAATTTCGAAAGTTGGAAAATTTTTAACATTCCCCCCTATAAGAAACTGCTCCGTTCGTCCCTTCCTGCTACTGAATGGTTCTGAAAAAACGGAAACGATCCCGAAATCTTTACATTTACCCTGACCTACAGCGTCGCGCTCGCGGGTTCTTTTTGCCTTATGAACGAACGAGAGCGGTATATTCACTACCGTGGTCATGTATTTAAATTCAAATGAGAACCCGCCATGTTTCTCCGCCATCTACAGGCGAACCACTGCACTTGCGTTTCGCTTTCGATCTAAATATGGTGGGAAACACCACTAGGGTCACTTTATAATGAAGAATTTTCGTACAAATTTCCTTTAATTGACCATAAAATCACTTGAAACTTATGTGTGGAGATTTGATTTCATAAAAAATTAAAATTGCCCATTTTCAAAAATGTAATTAACCTATTTATAGCCAATGTAGATCGATGAAAATTCGTTACCTCCTGCGCTGGTCCTTGCTGATTAATATAAAAAAAAAATTGGGCTGATACCACAAACGGTTTTTAAAAATTGTACAAAAATCTAAAGGCATGTTTTAAGTGTGTTTTCTACGCTGATCCCCACCACTCCGGCAGCGCGCTCTTAAATAATAATCTTATAATACATATTTCTGTATAAAATATTTGTGGCTTTATTGAAATTGACATGGATATATATTTTTTTCAGTTCTATTTTAAAAATGCTAGATGTCCGAACATTGATGTGTTAGGGCTCATATATAAGAAGGATATTAGGCGGCGCCAGAGAGTGAATCCACCTCCTCTGCATCCCGCTTAAACAAAATTTTAATGAAAGGTTCATATTACAACTAGCCTCAGAGCCACCACAGCGCCATATCCCAACTGGCTAGAGGTAATCCCCTTCATTCCCATGGAGAATGTTAGTCCGATGGTGGATGTGGCGAAGGTGACCTGGGCGCTGAAATGGTTCTCAGCATTCAAATCATCAGGATTGGACGGCATAATATACCAGTCCTCCTGCAATGGGAATTGGATGTTATTGTCATCTACCCAGTGAGAAAACTTGTATATACGGACCGTATCGCTTTCAGATACATACCAAACAATGAGGGGAGATAAAAATTGTCTTTACCCTCAATCCTGGTGAGGGTGATTACTCTACACCTAAAGCTTACAGTCCAATCAGTTTGACGTCTTTTCTTATTAAGACCCTTGAACGACTGTGCGATAGATACATAAGAGGTATGGCGTTTACACGGTTCCCTCTTCACTAAAAGTAATGAGATAAAGCGTCCGCCTTAACTTGGATTAGCAGAATCTTGAAAAAGTGCAAGCGTGAGCATATACCGGGTGTAACACTAAGCGGTTAATACTTAAACGTTAGTGAAAATTGATACAGGCCTGGTACCAGAAATTGTAACTTTATGTGAACTGAAATCAAAATTTATGCACTAGTGTGATCTGAAATTTACCTTTCAATTTTCCTTAAAATATTAATTTCATATTCTCTAATATAAATAGAACAATCTTGGGAGGGTCAAAATATAATTGACTCATAAAACAAAAGTCACAGATGGTAAACTGTTATCCACAAATTATCCGCAAAAGAAGTTTATTTACCGATTTCTTATTTGGCGGTGTAAAAACTTCTTCGGCACTACGTTCTTCGTCACTACCATCAAAATTGGGTTGGGCGGGAATATTGCCATTTTTAGGTGGACAAATATTATCCCACAGTCTGCGTTTAAGCTCAGACAGAGGCTATGTGAAGTAGAACAATTAGATATTCCAGAAATAACAACTGTCACAAGTTAATTACCGTACTGTCCCTTCTTGGTTTGTATTCAGGAAATGTGTTCAAAAACTTAAGCATCTCTTTGCGCAAATGAGGAGATGGATTCGGGCGAATAAATGCACCAAGGGGGGTCTCTGGTGTGTCCACTTGATCCCACGGTAAAGGATGTGGGAGGTTTTGTACAGGCGTGTCTAGTAGATTTCGACTTCTAGCTTCTGTTATAATTTTCTGCACCGGGGTGATCTGGCTAGCAGTAATTCCAGAAATATTCCACTGTTTATTCTTTGGAGTATTATCTACAACAAAAAATGATTTGCATGTTACCCATTTTCGAATTATCATTACCTTTCGGTTCATCGGCGGATTGATTTGCAGATGTTGACGGTTTCTGCTCTTCCTTTTCAGCAGAAACAGTGTGGGACTTCACCATAGATAGTTTATTTAATTTCAAGGTGCTGATATCATCACACAATTTTGATGGTGGGGAAGACACAGATTTAGATGACTCTCTTGTGTTGCTTGATGCTGTGAAAGTGTATATATATTAATGATTATAAATAAATATATTATTTATCAATAATGTCACTTATTAAAATTGTATCGACCGACCCCACGCATGTGTAGTACTTATTTTTCTGCAATTACCTATTTGAATTAACCACATCCACATACAGAAAAGGTATAATAAATGACACTTTATTCAACACAAATACGAAAAATCAATGTGGTGAAAATTGTTGATGCACTCATTTTCACAAATTGATGCGTTCTTTCACAAAATTTGGTCCTCTACATGTCACATACATTTCTTAACCTTAAGCCACACCCATATTTTTGTACCTTTTCTTCCCTTCACAAGCATTTACGAATAATATTGTACTCGAAACGTAAACTCTAAAGAGTGGTTAACCAATAACCATTTATTTAGTTCCCTAAAAAAGGCTATACAGCTTAGATCATACAAACATGGATGAAGCGATGCAGTTACACTATGTCGCCAACATGCAATTCAAGACTCTATGTACGAGCCCTAACACATAAATGTTCGGACACCCACGATTTTAAAAATATTGTAACTTAAAATGATTGTATGTTTTTTTTTATTAATTTTGTCTTACTATAGTTATAAATTAAGATATTTAGTAACTTCGATTTTATATTTTGATGCAAAATTAATTAATTACAAACATTGAAATAACACAAAACAACATAAAATTAAAATTTACTGTGACACAAAAATGTTCGGACAACACCCCTTAATAATGAGTTACATCCTCTTTGGCTTTAATAACACCCTGGATTCGTGTAGGCATGGTCGCCAGAAGAGCTTTACATTCATCGGTGCCAAAGGTATCCCAAATCTCTTGTAATTTTTCCCTCAAAGAAAGCAATATGCGTTACGGGTGATTACGCAAGCGTTGCTTCATTTTATGCCACACTGTCTCAATGACATTGAGATCTGGACTGCTTGAGGGCCAATCTAAAGCACTAATATTGTGATCTTGTACTCTTGTAACCATTTCTTAGCGTTTTTGCCGTGTGACATGATGCTCCGTCTTGTTGAAAAACAAACTCTGCATCAGGTGATAATGTCCCAAGTGATATCAAATCGAGATTCATCACAAAAAATGATTTTTTCCAGTCTTGGTAAGACCACTCCTGCCGTTCCCGAGCCCAAGCCAACTTTTTCTTTTTTGTTTTTCTGTTAAAAGAGGTTTTTCTTTCGCCTATTTAAAAAAGTTTTTTCTAATGCTCAACAATTTTAACCTAAAGATCAACTTACTTTATAAAAGAACTCCCTAAGATGACTCCTAATGAGATAAAGTGGGACCTGAGCGAATTTGAAAAAGAACCATGCAAACCTGATTTGTGGATCCACCTTCGACAGGGTTCGCGAGAAAGATGAGCATTTGTTACTTCTTTCCATTTTACCGTAAAATTCCGTACTATGTCTCTTCGTCCAGATTTGCAAATGGTTACCAGCGCTCTCTGCATTCTAGGGGTAACTTTTGGCCGTCTTCCTGTGCTCTTTCTTGCAACTTCGCGATTGATGCTGTTTTCCCATACTTTGTTACAATATTTGCCACCGTGGACTTGAGCAAATTGAATTCCTGACCTATTGTCCTAAAGGATTTTCCCATATCAAACCATTTTTTTACTATTAATTGTCGAATTTCTTTCCGTGCCGCTTTGCCACGTACCATTTTTTCTTTTAACAAAGCGGCAAAGTGAACTGACAGGTTATAAAAACTATTATTTTTTGTTTTTATCCTGTTACCTAGATCACAAACTATCAAATATCTGTGGTGTCCGAACATTTATGTGTCAGTTAATTTTGCTGATTTTCCCATTTTTATATTTGAGAGCATTAAAAAATAGTTTTTTTGCTATTAGACTTAAATAATAAACTTATAATACATATTTTTGTATAAGATATTTATGGCTTTACTGACATTGACTCGGATTAATTTTTTCTCCCGTTCTATTTTAAAAATGCTAGATGTCCGAACATTTATGTGTTAGGGCTCGTACTTTTGTGCTGTATCTCTCTTGTCGACGTACAATTTATATGTAGTTATTCTATGTACAGTTGCAGTGATGGTAGCCAATCAAAAAATTCGAATCTTTAACCTTACAATGTTAATAAACAATGCAATATTTATTATTTAAAATAAATATATAATAAATATAAATATATAATAAAATTATAAAAATGCACGTTGGAATGTTGGCGACGGTTGTCTTTTAGTAGAGCTTATGAGATAGCTCTATCAATGTATATATGATCTAAGCTATACAGGGCTTTTGCCATGAAGTACACCAACGGCAACGGAAGCAGTCCAAGAGCTGGTGGTCTAGACCGTTAACGTATTTATTCAATGTATGCATTGAAAACAAGTGTTTTCCTCGGCGTCTAAAAATTTCTAAAGTTCAGCCGATTTACAAGAAAGGTGCTGTAGATGTTCTCAATAACTACAGATCAGATCAATAACACCTATTTTCTCGAAAGTCTTCGAAATCATTCTTAAAAATCAGCTAGTCGGATATTTGGAAAAGAACAATTGCTTCTTTTCAAATCAGTTTGGCTATCGGAAAGGAAAATCTACCTCAAAGGCCATCATACAAATCGTGCAAAAAGTAACTGAAGCCCTAGATTGCAAACAAATGGCAATTATAACACTCTTAGACTTGACAAAGGCTTTTGACTGTGTAAATAAGGACATACTAATGACGAAATTAGAATACTATGGCATTAGGGGCGAAACCAACAAATTTTTTGAATCCTACTTGAGCAATAGAGCGCAAGTGGTCCAAAATTGTACAGACCAATCTGAAACACAAGCTGTGAACGCTGGGGTGCCTCAAGGTTCGGTGTTAGGACCTATTTTCTTCCTTCTGTTCGTAAATGACATGCCAACGGCAATAAAAACCAGCCTGACAACTCTCTACGCGGACGATACAACATTTGTTAACAGCGCAGAAAACCTATCGGATTTAGAAGCACAAGCATATGCGTGTATAAATCAAGCAAATGAATGGTATACGGCAAATTCTTTAAGGGTAAACACAGAAAAAACAGAAAACCTAATATGTTCAACATCAAGAATTAGTGAACCACAACCGACCAAATGTGTAAAATTATTAGGAATCACGATTGATTGTCAACTTAACTGGGGCGAACATGTCGACATACTATCGAAGTCACTAAATAGGGTAGTATTCCAAATCAAAAAATTAATGCAAATTGCCACATTAGAAAGTGCAGTATCATATTATTACAGCAATTTTTATAGCATTCTCTCATACGGTATAGTGCTATGGGGAAAGCAATCCGAATATTTTTGATACAAAAGAGGGCAACAAGAATTCTTTGTGCTGTGGAAATAAAAGAACATTGCCAACCTTTATTCCGAAGATTAAAGATGTTAACATTTCCTTCCATATTCATTCTAAATTGCATACTTTATGTACAAGAAAATAGGTCGCTATTTCGTACTAACAATTCGTTTCATAACTATCACACTAGACATGGAAATGACATTGTTATACACTAGCACAGGCTCAAAACCACACAACAACCAACAACCCATCTTGCAATTAAACTTTTTAACAAACTGACATGGGACAGCAAACAGCTACCTAATAAAAGATTAAAATTGGAACTAAAGAATTTCTTAATTGCCAATGCATTTTACAGCATCCAAGAATTTCTTAATTATAAAGGAAATTCACTAATTAGGCTAACATAAAATCGATCTAAATAAATTATAATGTTTGTACATAAAGTTTCAAAATGTATACAATTTTACAAATCTAGTAATTAAAATTAGGTTTACTGACGTGCTGAAACAACTCCCATGTATGAAAGCCAATAAATTATTATTATAGATTTCGAAAAAATCTTTATTAACATCCAAAACGTTGATTGATCATGTCAAAAACCGTGTAAATCTTAAATCTGTTTTTCCAGTTTTTGGCGATTTTCTCGAAGTTTTTCTATAGGAAGAATATTTTTTTATTTTTGTTTATTACAATATGTCTTCCCTAAAATTTTACTACCCCTCGCACCTCTGTGCGATAAAAAGATATAGATTTTTCATCCCTTTGAAAAAGATGTGGTTTTTTTCAGAAATCGTGAGAGCTAGAAGCGGTCTTTAAGGTCTCAAAAAAATTCTCCTTTTTTGTAATAAAACAAGCGATGTTTCGTCCAAATTTCAAACTTTTACGTCTTCTTTGCGCAAAAATAAGAACAAAAAACCGGTTTTCCGGTTTTTCTAGGAAAATTGGAGGTTATGTGAAAATATCGCAGATAGAAAAGTTGTTCATTTTTTTATTCTCTATAACTGCTACATTTAACCTTTTCGCCTAAAATTAATAGTTTTGCCACAAATTGCCAAGTACCACTTTCCACCCCTTTCAACCCCCGGGATTTCACCCGCGGAAAAATTCAGCTTTTTTAATTATTTTTCCCCAATTTCTAATCATTTACATCATATACATATTACAATAAATCATAGGCGCGCAGGCCTTGGTTGGAGGTATTCGTTGATTTGATACTATGGGTTGGTGGTGAAATTGTGAAAAATACAGCGACTTGACTTCTAAATTTTTTGGCCGAAGTAGGTGTCCGCAATTCTTGTGGAAGATGGTAGAACAGTTTGATCGCCATGCACCTGGGGGCATCCTGGAATAGTGTTGTGGTGTGATACAAAGTCGGCAGCCGCACAGAATTGCACAATTTTATGCTGATTAATTTTCCCTATCGGAGTTTCTTGCAGCTTTACAAATAACAAACTTATGGTCAATACCCAAAAAAGTTTAGAAAATGATGCGAACAAATAACAATTAACAAAACCCCTAGTAATTTTTTCTCAGCTTTCTAATGGTGCTAACTTAAAATTTTCATGATCTGTGGGTTTCGACTATATCACATCAACTTTCTTATGTCTTATGGAGGCCATATTGGATTTTTACGGCACTCGATCGAGAACAAATTACAATGTGATCCAGTGATGGACATTTCCAGTAGGTAATTCCATATTATTCGGGTTTAGTAGGTGGTGGACGGTGGTTGAACCTTGGACAGACCGCTAACCGTAGATTTTCCTTTGATAAAGCAATGATGCGATGGATGGAGAAGAACAAATTTCTCAAAGCAGCTAACAAGTCGCGTACCCATGCATTTTTCGAAAATTTTGGGAAAAACGGAAACTATTAATATAATAGGTTGATAGTTTCTTAGATACCCATATCCACAAATGCCCCCAAGTATCACAAAAGACGATACGAAAGAGACATCGCGTTTTAATTATTGTGCAACCATGCAACTTAAAAGTTTTGGCGTAGATTGCCGGATGAGGTCAAATTAAACTCTCTGGTAATCAAATCAAAATATAGAAAAGTACAGTAGGTTTATTAAGCAAAACGTCAATATACCCCGATTTCAGGCAATTTTGCCGAATATTGCAAATATCTGGGTTTTAGGTCTGCAATGAATAACTATTTATGGCCCCCCATTATGTAGGTAAGTATTTAAACATGTCTTCATTCAATAATATAACCCTTTTTTTTAAGTCTTGACGCGCACATGTTATAATAATATAATAATATCCAGTCACAATCTAAGTCGTCCTTCTCAGTTTAATGATAACTGCTAATTCAATTTTTTTTTTGAGCTTCGACAGCTATGGTCATTAACTCTTGTTGCTAATTCAGATGTTATTGTAAATGTCTATTACCCTCAAGTACGATAGTAGGTTATTTATACGCGACATACTAATAAAATTATCTCGATAATTATCACTAATGTTGTAATTGTTTCTTATATGTTCTAAATGCCCACATTCTAAAATGAAGTGTACTACTGTTAATTCGTGTCCACATCTGGCACATATAGGAACTGGTTCTCCCTTCAGTAGGTAAGTATGCGTTACCGCAGTATGGCCTATTCTCACTCTAATTAATTTTGATATGTCTGTTCTAGTGAGTCCAGGATTATCCCATTTAGCTATGGTCGGTTTGATGTTTTTAAGGTGAGTATTACACATATCCCAATCATCTTGCCATTTGGAAACAGTTACACGATTATATTTATTTTTTGAATCTTTGTGTTTTATATTAGGGCTGGACATCTATTTTTTGAAAAAGCGACGACTTGCGGCTAAACGACTCAGTTTAGATATCATGTGTAATACATAAAGTTGCACTAAAATTGACCAAGGAATCGAAATATGTAATAATATACAGGGTGGTGACTTGCGTAACGCATCATAGGGATTTGAATGTAAAATTCATAACATGCGATTATTGGCTCCCCAAATTATTTTCGAGCAAAAATGTATTAAGGTTTTTTGTAGGAAAAAATTTTTTACGTCAATCAACCCTATTAGTTTTCAATTTTTTGCATAATAAAGACGGAAAATTGGAAAATAAAATCCCCATCTTTTTCAATAATCTGTGATGCCATGGAATTTTATAATACAAAAACTACGCCAATATTCGTCATGCCATGGAATGTCTGCTATAAAACAAATCAAATTCTATCAAAAAGTATTATATTTAGAACAGCGAATTCAACAGAAAGAAAGACCAAATTACTAAAAACGGTTCCCTAATATAACAATTTACAATAAACGTTCGAATAAGTCACCATTAACTGCAATACAGTAACCAAGTCGATCATAAAAGCCATTTCGAACTGCTGCTAATTGATAACTGGATATCTTTTTGTTTTAAAAAATTCCATGGCATCGCAGATTATTGAAAAAGATGGGGGTTTTATTTTCCAATTTTCCGTCTTTATTATGCAAAAATAAAAAAACTTATAGGGTTGATTGACGTAAAAAATTTTTTCCTACAAAAAACCTTAATACATTTTTACTCTAAAATAATTTGGGGAGCCAATAATCGCATGTTATGAATTTTACATTAAAATCAATATGATGCGTTACGCAAGTCACCACCCTGTATAGAGTTCCATTTAAAAAAATGCAGCGTTGATATAAATCACCCTGATAACAATTGCAATTTTGGTGAAAATATTTTTAGGTTGTAGCGTTGAGTGAAGGATCTAGGTAGAGAGGCAATGCTTATGTTAAAAGCATAGTGAACGTGGGGTTTGAGATATAGGCGGCCAAGAGTGATCTCAGATCCCGACGGCAACAACCAAGTCGGCGATCCAGATCCGGATTGCATTATTTTATTTTCATATTTTCGCATTATCGATTTTGAAATATACGGTTACGGTAGGTCCGTATCAGAGGCTGCATGTGGCCCTTGTAAAATTAATTTGTGATTGATCCAGTATGTTTACGGTGACCGAAACATATTATTTAAAAGTATTATAATGCACATTTTATATCTAGGTATATTCTATATAAAACAAGCGGCCGCATCAAAAGCAAGCATGATAGCAGAATAGCTAGATAAAGTTACCAGCAGATTCGCCAATTAAACAAGTTGTCTTTGTAGGTACCGTCTTTTTTTCAAATTGTCACGTTAATTGCGAGAGAGTACCTATACCTAGCGTTATCGGTTTAAAATAAGTCGGTAGTGTGCTAAAATTGTAGGATGTGTTGCAAATCATATTTGCGTTTATGCAAATTGCTACATCAGCAATAAACATAGTGATGGGATAAGTTTCTTTAAATTTCCCATAACAGACTAAACTAGGACCAAGGTGTGGCAACGTAACTGCGGGAACATTAAGATTTTTGAAATGGACATCCAAGGGTTGAAACATAAATTAATAACACTTTCTAACAGAACATATGTACAAAAGTGGACGACGTAAGTTGCTGAGGAAAAATGCTTAAAGGTAAGGTAAACGTATATAACAGATTCCGTGTAGCTTTGCGGCTGAAGTACTTATTAGGAATTCCTACTAGAAATGGCTGAGCTCATTATCCCTTGAGGAAAATTATTAGAAATGGTCATCATGTCGGACGCAGCGTAGGGATTAAAAATCGTGTTTGCGAATGTGAACTGCTCTTAATTAGGTATCTGATCCAATAATTATGATAAGGGACTGATATTTTGCAGGTATACAATTGCATGAAAATAGAATGACTCATTTTGTTGACGTGTGTTACAACGGTTTTCGATAGTTGCAATTGGAGTTACGCTAAAGACTGATTTCGTTGGAGAGGGCGGCTGGGCGAAAATACTTAATACTTGTAAATTGTAAAGAAGGAAAGCGCCGTCGAAATTGTCGGTGGCGTTAGCTATCGGTGTTGCAAAACGTGGACTCGGAGGGGCAGAGACGCGATGTGCGATAGAGAAGGGACTACCTTAGTAAAAGATCGGAAAGGATGACCGCTTTTCATATAGGCATTACCACTCTACCTAGATCCTTCACTCAACGGTTGTAGCCTTAAGGGCCCCAACATGCCCCGACAATGAATTTGAAATATGTGTGTTAATAAACCCACAATCTTCCACCCACACACTAATGGCCCACCCTGTATCACAATCTTCCACCCACACGCTAATGGAACGCCAGGTGGAACACCCTGTATATTATAAACTACGTTTTTTTTTCTTTGAGACCAACGTGTCATTGAATTACTTGCAACTCGTAGACTTGCTAAACGGAGTAGGTATTATGTGATGTATTACTGGGTGACAAAGTAAAAATTGAGTATAGAAAAAACACAATTTTTAAGACTTGGAGGACTTAGCTTCCAAATAACAAATTTTGGATCATTGGTTTACGTAATTTGCTACACCAGTATTAGTGTAATTAAATATAAGACTATTTAAGATGAGCTACTTCCCTTGTATAAACCTATTCAGTCACTCCTCACTCTCCGCTGTGTGGGCGAACACGTCTTCAAATCTCAATGGCATTCACATTGCAATAGTTAATTGTTTAGATTTTAATACCAGAATTGCACTATAAACAAAGTGCGGACTGAATATAAAAAGATTCAACGCAATACAAATGCACATATCAGCTCACTTTTTAACACATTTTCCAATGAAGTTGGGTGAACTATTGGAGCATCTGTCCTCTGTCTGAGGCCTTAACTACTCCTACAGTTTTCAAGATATTTAGTTCGTTCTTTTTGCATTTGGTAACGTATAGCTCTCGCACCTTAGCCAAGGAAAATGATACTATTGCATTAAAAACACTGACTGCAGACAGAATGGATTTAATCTGTAGACAAAATTGAGCACACAGAATTTTTACAAGTGGGGTAAAAAGTGCCAGTATTCGCGCCCTTCATTTATGAGCTGTGTAAAACATTGTTGCGTAAACTACGTCACGCGGGCGCTTTGTTGAGCATCAACACATTCAGTAATGACGGGCATCATCTATTTAAATTTCAATTTTTATTTTGACGTTAAATGTGGTTAAATTGGGATTAAGCGCAATTCCGATCATGTCATTCGAATTCTAGTTCAATCTTGTTTTGAATTAGAATTATTTAATGATATAATCGCCTTGTTTATTTTATTGTAAATTTAAAATGCGTGTAAAAGACTAAATTTATTCAGTTACGGATTGTTTGCGTGGTATTTATCTCATGTTTTTCTCCGGTTGTAGATAAGAAGTGTTCTAATCGCTGCGTAATCTAATTAGTTTCAAGACAAGGACATGTTATTGCCAAGTTTGCAGATGTTTTCCTTGCCGATAAGAAAGCACATATACAGGGTGGTGACTTGCGTAACGCATCATAGGGATTTCAATGTAAAATTCATAACATGCGATTATTGGCTCCCCAAATTATTTTAGAGCAAAAATGTGTTAAGGTTTTTTGTAGAAAAAATTTTTTACGCCAATCAACCGTATTAGTTTTTAATTTTTTGCATAATAAAGACGGAAAATTGGGAAAATAAAACCCGCATCTTTTTCAATAATCTGTGATGCCATGGAATTTTATAATAAAAAAAACTACGCCAATATCCGTCATGCCATGGAATGTCTGCTATAAAACAAATCAAATTCTATCAAAAAGTATTATATTTAGAACAGCAAATTCAACATAAAGAAAAGCCAAATTACTAAAAACGGTTTCCTAATATAACAATTTACAATAAATGTTCGAATAAGTCAGCATTAACTGCAAGACAGTAACCAAGTCGATCATAAAATCCATTCGAACTGCTGCTAATTGATATTTGGAAATCTTTTTGTTTTAGAAAATTCCATAGCATCACAGATTATTAAAAATTGAAAACTAATACGGTTGATTGGTGTAAAAAAAAATTTTCTACAAAAAACTTTAATACATTTTTGCTTTAAAAAAATTTGGGGAGGCAATAATCGCATGTTATGAATTTTACATTGAAATCCCTATGATGCATTACGCAAGTCACCACCCTGTATATATCTAATTTATTCGAACCCGCATGTGTACCACAAGTAGTTAAAATTCAAGCGTTCAAGCATAAATAGTATATTATGTCATGAAAGTTGTTACCTGTTATTAGCTTTATTTGGCGCAGCAACCTCCATTTAAAAAGCCTTTAACGTAGAGCATCATTCTTAGGTAACAGCCCGCCGTTCGCAAAACTAGAAACCGCATACGCGGTATTAATATAAGCGCTAAGCCGATATGCAAACTTACTCATTTTAGAGACTACAAAAAGTATCAACCATTGATTTTATCAAGGATTCCAATTTCATTTGGCAAACACAAACTTCCTTTGTTATTAAAAAAAGGGTGCAGGAAAAACTAAATTAAATTAGAAACTTTCAAATTCACTGCTTATTTCATGATGTGGAAGACCATTTGGTATCCATTAATAATTGCATAAACTTACCTTTTACATCGCCCACTAAAAATGGTGTTTCAGACACGTATTCGGAAGACCGAGCACATTCCAATAGCCAGTCCTTATTAATCACACGCAACCCCCATTTAACAGCAGCAGTATACTTCTTTCCAGTAGGTTCGGGACTTATCAAATGTGTACAGGCTAACAATCCAGATTTGGAATTTATTCGAGAGAGTGATTCTTGGCACACACCCCCTAGTTGCATTATCAACGTTTTTAAAAAATTTCTTTCATAATTCGTGTAAGTACTAATAGTTACAACACAATTTTTTAATGGTTTCACATCGTCTTTAACAGATATGGGCTGATGGAAATACTCGATTGGTCTAATTTCGTTTTCTTGCCAACATTCTGTTATCCATAAATCGTTGACAATATTGGTTGCTACATGCTTTAAAACGGAACCAAAAGAAGGTACCACTGCATAATCACAAACTCCCTTATAAGTTTTACTAACAACTGCACCTGCCATTGCTTCAACGGCTGTTTTAATTTGCTTACGCTCTTCAGGCGTAAACCCAACTATAATAAACTTTAAATCTTGAAAAATTGAATCTGGAGGTTGGCTGCTGTCATCTACTGCAGATGATAAGGAAGCGTCATTGTCTGCAGGAGCCGGTTGGGGTTTTATAGTGGAGTGGGTAACACGATTTGCATCAACATTCCCATTTTCTTTGGTTGTTAGTGTCGGTTCATCTTCATTTAAATGAGTATCAGTACCAGTTTTAAATTTGGTATTATCTTGTAAAAGTCTAGCTAATGTATCTTCTTGACCTGCAAATAAAAAAGCATTAATGAAGCAGATAGTAGGTATATAGAATTTGGTCAGGTAGGCAATTAAGGAGTAATTAAGAGAAAAATTAGTTATACACTGCTTGCTGAAACACAGTTTCTTTACGATAAATTAGATTGTCTGTCACACTGGCAACAATTTAGGCGTTGTACGCCGGTGCACCATCCTGTTGAAACCAACAGTTTCCAACTTTGGTTTTTTTTGTGTGTGCCGTACATTGTTATATTCGTAACAAAAAATTCTACTTAATACAGCTTCCTTTTTTTACAGGCCATTAAGAAATGTATAGCGATAAACATCTTACTAGAAGAGTCAGGTTGAAAATATTGTTGAACAATATCTGCAGTGTTGAGAGACTCGGGCTGTTCTTGATTTTCTGAAGCACTAACGGATGCATGCAACAAATGTAAGCTCTAAAAGATATCAGATTAGTGATCTAAATGTAAAGTAGGTAGATGAAAGACCTTTTTAGTTAAAGGCGAACTAGGCTCAATGTGACCGTCCGTGTCTCTACTGACAATAAATTTGTCTTCCTCTGCTGGCGATTCTTGCTCCATACTCTTAAGCAACCAATGCACAGACACGATTGGATACGAAAAGTTGCAATTTTTTAAACGTAAATTCTTAAATTCTGGACACGAAATATCTCCAGCTATAATGTGTGTTACTCGTTCAGAAATATCATTGTATCGTGTGGCTCCGCTGAAATTAATTATTTTACACAATTTTTCTCGTTGCTCTGCACCAAAGCCAACCAAATATATCTACAATAGGGGAATTATTGACAATATCGACAAATTCAAATCTTTGAAACTTACCCCACAACCATCCAAAAATGAACCAGCTCTTTTAACATCTTTCAGATTAATCTCATCAACCAATTCATTATGTTCATTTGAATTACCTATAATAGAGATGAAATAATTTAGAAAATCATGAAACAACAAAATTTTTGCTTACAAATCATACTGAAATGATATTGAAATTTTAAATTTCTCACACAATGGATTGGTGTGTATTACTTAAAATGTCTAAATGCCCGACTGACTACAAGACATTTACAATTCAGCGATTATTATTATTATCCCTCTCTTGTTTTGGGCCCTCAACAGGCATGTTCCGCGATGCCATGGAGACAAGGAGATACCGTAATTATTTAGTCCGCCTACGACCGTTCCTGTTGGAATTATGTTTGTAACCACCGATGAGTCTTGTCCTGGAGAAGATGAAAATTTTTTGGTTTCGGCGCCGTTAATTGTTTATGGACCGTTTTAGTTCTCCATAATAAGTAAAAGCAATGGACGAACAAGTTCCGAAGCGAGATGTTTTGCTCGTTATCAGTTGGCGGCATGCCTGTAAAAATTAGATAACCGCCAGCCGGCTTTGTGACCGAAAACGTGTAATTAACATAAAGCTAATTAATGTAAAGAGTTCATGAGCTTCCATTTGACCCTTCGAGTATGTCTAATTAGCATGCACTAATTAAACGAGTTGTAGTAAAGGAGCATCTACCGACATTTGGTGTCAAATTGTTCGCGCTTAATTAACAAATCGATTGCCAGATGTTCGGGAATTTTAGCACGAACAGGAACCCAGTAATTAATTAAAAATCGAATTGATTGGTTTCGATTTCGTATTGAATAAGCGACGAATTGGATTTTCCCTGTTCCACTTCTACCAAATTGGGTTTTCTTTATAAGGTAAACGCTCAATTTTGGAAGCGTTCTACTTGCCGTAGAATATCTTTTGCCATTTTTGGGTGCCGTAAGTATGATTGATCTTTTGTTTGTACCGTTTTCCATTTAATTATCATTTTATTTAGTTTTGACCTTAAGTTTAACGTACCGTTTCTTTTACTTAACTTTGCACCATTTTGCCCGAATTAAGGAAAATTACCGTCAGGGCCATAGGCCATGCTTTGTTTTAGGATTGCCGAAGTACCGTTGCCATTTGCTGAACCTGACCGCAGAATTGCTGGAGTTAACAAGTCCGATTGAGGCTACCGAGACCGTAGGTCTTTACGTGATTACCGCCGACCTCGTCCAGGCGCGAGATTTTCGTCTGGTGGCACTCGAGTCCGTCCGTCCCCTGTACCGCCGTTTCGTCGACAACTGATTACCGCCGACTACCGCTTGAAGAATTACAACATACTGTGCATTATAATAGGTATATTTAATTAAATTAGCTTCGAATAATACTTCCACTCATTGTTTTTATTTCCTCAAACTCACCGGCTATGCGCGAGCAGCCCAAGTTCGTCGGAAGTTTGTCTTCTGGAGATAGCACAGATTTTAAATGTGAAACTATTTTACCAATTCGGTAAGGTAAAACGTCGAGTCAAACAGGCTCTGCGCCAAAGCCTAAGGCTGTGTCTGGGTCATTGGCTCAGGGAGGCAACCCGATGTCAGGGACCAAACCTCTCAGATCGGAGGGAAGCACTCCAGAGTCTGGCTTAGGGCAACATTGGAAGAAGCCTAGAGCGCTAAGGATGGTCATGGGGTCGGTATCAAACCCAGAGGTGGACATCATTGAGCGCAATCAAGATGTATTATTGCTGCATTGAATGCAGTTGTCGACGAGATGGAGGGAGGTTCCTTTCCTCGGCTGGCAAGATTCCACTGGAATCCGAAGGGTACCATTGTGGCCGAATGCTAGGGAAGGAGGTAACCTAGTAGATCAATGACGGACAAGGTAACCTTCTTTGCTTTGTTATCAAAGAAACTCACAAGCCTGAAATATGTGTAGCAACTACATTGGAGATCTATCTCACAAAAACCAGTTGACTTTAGACAAAAAAATTGCCATAAAGTATTCACCACCCTAAAACGCTCTCATACTGAAAGCACTTCTCAGAGACTGAGCAGTAACATTAATACTGCAATTTTTTCTGCTGATTCCACTAAGGCATGCAAGTACTTGCAGAAACAGTATAAACCTGGATGAGATACGATAAATAGCTGAATGGTCCAAGAATTCGGATTTGATTAATATTACAATACACCGAATTAGCCAAAGTCATTGTTTCATGCCTTAATTTAGGAAATGTATATGTTAAATAAGTGCATTATTTTCACTGCGATGTTTGTAACATACCAACATACTGTTCTTTAAAATATAGGCTCGCATATAGGTTACCTATAATAGTTAAGCAAATATACCCTTGTTTTAAAAATGTTTGCACTCTAGTTGTGGCATTATGAAGTTCAGTTCCATTCGAGCCGAGGTTCCATTGTTTATTATAATATTGTGTTAATAGGTAGGAAGTAATTAAAATAGAAACATCACTTAGGTAAGTTAATTTGATCTTATAACTTACTCTCGAAATTGCTACTTGTTTTTGAATGGGTACTTTTAAATTTTTTGTTTTTTAAAGTTTTTCCAGAAACAAGCAATAGATAGTTGCATTTTTTTACTTATAAAAAAAAACCTCAAAAAAACTATATGGATGGCACACATTTATGTAATATTGAGAGCTGAAGCCGAAATATAATACTAAATATTAAATAGTCTATCTCATTTTGTAGCTCCAATAATCATATGCTTCATTCTAATTTCTAAACACACCTACATACTTACCAACTAACCACAATAGACTCAACTTACTTTTTCTTTTTAAATTTGAAGAAGGTTTGGCTGGAGTGGCTACCTTTAAAAGTTGAGTGCCATCAATGGTTTCACAAAGTTCATTTCGTGCAATGCTAGCATTGGTAATGTTACTGACCATTGAAAAATTGGGTAGTTCCACACCATCCTTCGTGGGAGTAGACGTACTAATTTGGATTCTATACAAGTTATCTGGCATTGCATAACCATTCTTTACACTATCAGTAACCCATGCCATTGTTACACACTTTATATTATGCTTTACTGCTGCCTTATACTTGGCACTAGACGTTCTGCTGCAATAAAACAAATTAATTTTAAATAGATTTGTGTTTCAATTCAAATGTTTTACCTTTCTGTTACTAAAATATCAGTTCTATTAACGTGCAACTGCTCTTTGTAAATACCGCCATTTTCAGAAATATGTTGACATAAATCATGCCGTTGAGTGTTACTTAAACCAGTGCAACAAATAACAAGATTATAAAATACTGGACAGACATGTTTGTTGAACCGTTTGTTGTTGCAATGAATATTTTCTTTTAAACTACACTCCCAAACGTCATCAATCCAGGAATTTAACATAATTTTCATACCAGCTTCCGCACCTTTCTGAAGAAAAAACATTAAAAATCAATAACACAAAACCTTTGTCACGTACAATGTATTTTTCCGATTTAACAGAATTTGTAACAATATGCGTACATAATCCTGTTAGTGAGGGTGAGACGTATCCTCCCATCAATACGACCTTGTCTTGTAGTTCTTGTTTTTCTTTTTTCGTTAAAGAAGAAAATGCGATTGTGCATCCAGCCATGGCGACAGAGTATATGGGCCAAGGAAAATTCGGAATTTGTTTACCCTCAGTTAAGCAAGTTAAAAGGCACCATGGTCCAAGAATTCTGCTAAATTAAGTAAATTTACATCAGGACAGTGAAACGCAATGAAAATTGTAAAGAAATTAAGCGAACTATTTACGGAATCACAACAAAGGTAGGTAGTTAATGCCACTATTTAAAAACCATCCGTATAATTTTGGACCAATCACTGTTATTACAGAAGCATTTGCCCCCCCCCCCTGCACTCCCAAAGGTACATTATTTAATATCAAAATTAAAATCAAATCGCAAAGCTATGCCAAATTTAATCTAAATCAATTAATTATAATAAGAAGATAGCTTACCTATGAAATTGGGACCGAGACTCAGCAGTGCGGTCCAGTTCAAAAAATACATAATAAATATTTGTGATTTTAGGTAGGTAAGTAAGTTAAGGTAATTTTACTTTACCATTGCAGATTTCCATATTCATTAATATCCACTAATATTGGAGTATTAAATATTAACATCTTGATTAACATGCTTGAATAATTAAGTACGAAGTTGCAGTATTTGAATACTCAGACATTAACTGTCTCACATTATTCATTACAATGAAAAGAATATGCTGAATGCAGGTTTATTACGTTCAAATAATTAACTGTACAGGACCTTCAAGCTTAAGTCGGCCAGCAGTATTGCTAACTTAAAATTTCATCAAATGCGTACATTTTAGACTCGTTTTCCATACACGTGTTTAACAACGGTACAATGAAATCAGATAGGTATACTTGGATAGAAGTGCCATTTTAGAATTGAATTCAAAGTATAACTGATGGATGTATTTAGACTAAAATACACAATTTTCTACTAACGAAAACATAACAAACAGTAGGTTCCTTGGTCTCCTTGAAATTATTCAAGCAAAGACAGAATTGTTGAGAACAAGGCAATCAATTCTTACTTTTACATGAAAAAGTAACGGATTTTAACAATATCGGCTTTATTAACAACAGTTTCCACCTGCTATTAACACGGACATAATAAAATGGTGTTATCGACAATGGTTTAAGATGTGAGAAGTAAAACTATGTGATTTGTGAATAATGAAAATTACCATCGAGATTTGAGCTTATGAGAAACAGGGGAAGAAAAGACTTACGTTGCCTAAATATTAATTTGTATTCTTGAGAATGAATCATGAACTGCTTTAAATTGAAATCTACCCATTTACCTTTGCACTAAACATATATTACCTACTAGTAACAATAAATTATGCAATACACAACTTACACACTTTTGGTCTCCTTTATTTTCTCAAATAGCTCTCCACAAAACTCCTGGAAGACGATAAAATCTGTTTTTTGCGAAGATGAATCAATATTGCAATCATTCTCACTACACCAATTTGAAATAATATTATTTTGCTTACATGCCTAAAAGCAGTGTAGATTAAAGAGCATACTGGATATCGATAATTACTAACAGCAAAAGCTTGTTGCATTTCGTGAGAGGTGTGCTCCTCAGACTCACAATTGGATGAAATAATGAAGGTAACCTTGATGTTATCATGGTCCATATTCAAGCCAAAAAATATATCGTAGGATTTATCTTGATTTCACAGATGCTTAACACTGTCAGTTTAAAAACAAAATCCAAACAAACTGAGGGATGATACACTAATTAGGCTATTTCAAATTCTGTGTACTACACCATCCCTTTCAATTATCTACCTCTATGGATAAAAAATATTAAATTAAAAAATGACCGTTATACACTTTTAAGGGCAACATAAGAACACATGTTTAAGAAAAGAGTGGGAATCTCGGAATGAGCACGCAGCAAACTGCAACCTTTTGAATAAAATGCTGCACCGCAACTTATGAACTTACACCACAGAACAAATATTACTGTTCTGTGACTTACAGAAATTGCATCTAAATTCTAAATTCCGACGTGACTCCGTCAAAGACGCATGCGTACCTCTTCGGAAATTTGATTTTTGTAATAATTTGCGTACAGGGTGGGTCGACGATTGCACGAAGTACGAACCTAAGGAAGCATTGGTTAAAAGTGTGCTTATGATAATATGGTAGAATATTCTACATATTTTAAATTATAGAATGTGCGATCAAAATTATATAGGGAGCCAGAAAGTTACATTTTGTTAATGAGACATCCTGCACTTGGTTCGAGATTCTGATTCTATATGAAATTCTGCCTCTTTTTTAATATAATGTAAAACCAATAAAAAGGTTATAGTTTCGAAAATAAATCGTATTAATTTAAAAAATTGCATTTCATCTTTTGCCTATTGTTAAGATTTTTAGTGTACTTTTCTGATGTAATTGTTTATATTAACCGGACGATGCCCATTTAAGGCTCCTCTGTAGTCAATTTGCATTTCAATGTTATTGCAATTGGTTAGACCACCAACAATACACATTTCTACGTATATTCGTGGAGTGCGAAAACGGTATATTTCTATCTTATTCAGTTTTGCATATTTTCTTCATTTATTGTTAAACACAATAGACCAGGTATAATGATCAAGGACTAATTATGTAAACAAGTTTATTGATAAGGTGTAGTCAATATTCGAATAAAGCTACACAAATACCTGTTCCTTTTACTCCATTTGTCTATAATGAGATCTTCTGTAAATTACTTGATTCTAAGGTAATTAGTGGAGAAAATTCGCAATGTTTGCTAAGATTTCCCAATAGATTGTTAGTTAATTACACCTTATTATTATTTCCTGTTATTTGTTTTAATCAATTTTACTGATCAACTTTGATTTAGACATTTTTATAATTAATAATAATAATAATAATGTGTTTATTTCCACCAAATTAAAAAAAATGGAAACCACAGGGGTTATCGGTTCAGTTGCTGCACAGGCAGGTTCTGATCTTCCACCGACTCCCTGAATACAATTAGAATTAACATAATCAAGTAATGCTTATAACTGAGTAATATAATACAAAGGAAAATATGAAATAGTAATAAATGCACATAGGAGTAACTAAATGAGAGTGAGATGAAAAGAGACAAAGAGACGAGAGACAAGTTAAACAAGATAGATATGAATGACAATCTACAACGTACGTACAGAGTCATGGGCTAATATTTGACGCAATTTAATTTTGAAATACTGCGGAGAAAGGGGCTTAATCAAATCTGGAACAGACGAATATACTTTAAAAATATTATAACTAAAAGATCTCTTGTACATTTCTGTGTGATGAGAGGGTGGAGTAATCCCACCACTAAACCGTAAATTTAAGTTGTGAACATCGGTTCTAAAAGATATTTTGCGGTATAAATATGGAGGAGATTTGTTCCAGATAATTTTATGATACAGACACGCCGCAGTAAGCAGTCGCCTATCCCTCATGCTGAACCAGCGTAATTCTTTTAATTTGGAAGATACTCGATCAAACTTCCTAAGACCAAATACTAGTCTAATACAGGAGTTTTGTACTCGCTGTATTCTTGCAGACATATCCTGAGTGATGCACGGACCGTAGACTTGCGAACAGTAATTAAAGTGGCTTAGTACCAGCGCGTTACAGAGTTGAGCTTTTAAAGTTTGGGACAAGTAGTGCCTATGGGGAAAGATAAATTTTAAATTTGCATATGCTCTCTGAATGTAGCTAGTGAGTAATTTGTTGTATCTAAACGAATTGTCTATCATTATTCCTAAATTTTTTGCTTCCTCCTTTAGTGCAACAGCTTTGTCGCCAATTCTGAATTTTACCAAATGTTTCAAGTCGGTGACTTTCTGCTTGTTACCAAACAACATGACTGCCGATTTTAGAGGATTGAGAACCAGCGAGTGCTCCAATGAAGCCCTTTCAATAGCCTTAAGGTCACTTTGAATCAGATTTAGCGCTTCGTGTAAATGTTCACTTTTAAAGGAGTGGTACAACTGCATGTCGTCTGCATACATGTGAACTAGACACGTCTTAGGAACTGATGTATAAAACAAAGTATATATAGTGAACAATAAGGGGCCAAGAATATACCCTTGCGGCACACCCCTAGATAGTTCCCTGTACCCAGATGACTTACCCATTAAAGTAACGCACTGTGACCTGCCCGTTAGGTAGCTATGAAGTAATGAGGTAGCATTAGGAGAAAGACCTGTAGCACGTAAGATGGAAATTGCAGTTTGGTGATTAATTGTATCGAATGCTCTACTGAAATCCAAGAGTAGCAATATGGACATCTTGTTCTCATCCTTAGCTTTCAGTAAATCATCCGTAACATTTAGTAGTGCAGTGGTGCAGCTATAACCAGGCCGAAACCCTGATTGATTGTCAGGGAGAATGTTATTCTGGGTCAAGTAACAACGTAGTTGGCCGTCCACTATCTTTTCGAAAACTTTTGACAGTACGGGCAGTAGACTGATTGGGCGTAAGTCGCTGAATTTATCTGCTTTAGCTCCTTTGATGATAGGAATTACTATTGCCTTCTTCCAAAGGGTTGGAAATGTGTTAGTAAGTAAGCAATAATTAATTATATGAGCCACATACGGCAAAATGTTAGGACAAAATAGTTTAATAATGTCAACGTTTAGTCCATCCCAACCAGCACATTTCGTTTTAATACTATTGATAATCTTGGCAATCGTAGGTACATCGATAACGGAAAATTCAAAATTGACCACAATTTGAGATGAGGAAACACAATAGTCGTCAATATTAAACTAATCGCCAGCAACAATGGGAATATTATCAACAAAGTAATCATTTATCTCATCAGCCCGTTGAAGATGCGGAGGAATTAATTTCTCCTTATTGGCAACAACTTTTAATTTTTTAAGCTCTCTCCATAAGACTTTAGGGTCATTTCCTCTAAGTTTAAATTCAACAAACGCTTTTTTTTCCAACTTTACAGTTTTGTTGGTGAGATTACGAAGCGCTTTATAGTATTCCCACTGCTGTGGAGATTTGGTTTGCTTGAATTTACAGTAAGCTTTGTCCCTTAGACGCATTAAGTATTTCGTGTTATCAGATAACCACGGAGCCTGGGGTTTGGTTTTTCCTGAAACTATTTTTAAGGGTGCGTGTTTGTTTATTATATTTAGTATATGATTATTAAGATAATTTATTTTTGAGTCTACGTCCCTCAAGTAGAATATCCTTTGCCATGCCACTCTTTGAATGTCTGCAAAAAACAGCTCCATATTAACATTTTTAAAATTACGTACCGTTTTGTAGAAATTATATGGTTCAGTTTTATCGTGTTCGATTTCACAGAAGATGGTTTCATGATCAGCGAATAATGTGCCACCAATGCCAGATTCTCGTATACGATTAATGTCGGATACCAATATGTGGTCTAAGAGTGCCGTGTCAGATCGAGTTGCTTCATTAATAATTTGCACCAAACCTACACATTCTAACATGTTCAAATAATAACGTGTTTTATGCGACGCTGTATCTAAAATATTAATATTTAGGTAAATTAATAGGTTATTATTTACTAATTTAAAAAAAGTTCTTATCTTTTCAAAAAATAATTGTACAGTTAGCGTATTCGTTTTATTTATGCACGGCCCATGAAGGTTTTTTACGAACAGACAAAACTGCTGGTAAAAATGTAACTAACACAATAACACATGTCTATAGATATTGTCATTGCAAGCTATCTTCCATTTTTATGGGTAGAACCATATTCCGCACCAAAAAGCATGAGATATCACATGGACATCAAGCAATCGAATTTACACCTTTTGGTCTGTAAGTATCGATATTGGCATCGTTTGTGCGGTATCATAATTCGGTTTTTTAAATCCTTAATTCAGTAGTGAAAATTGAAATTGGGCATTCCTCTATTTCTTTGACGACCAAGTATTCATCCTTGTTGATATCAGATCATATTGAAACAATTATAAATTGTGCACAACTCTTGTGCAGATAAAGTGCATTTTTTAAACCGAAATAGCTTAGTAAATAGTTGGGTTATAAGGCTCTTCTGTTGTCAAGATATTCGCTTCGACTTCATCAATAGATGTCTCGTCCAGACGATTCATTCTGCCTCTACTCCGACAAACTGTATTCGCTCTTATCGTGTTGATCTTACCAATGGATATATTTGTTCCACACGTCCCAATCGCCCTTTGTGAGTACCTCCTCCGGCAATTCGCTATAGAGATAAAAATTATAACCGATCACGATGAAGCGTCGAAGAGGTAAAAATGGATTCCTTTTGTTGAGACCTTTCATTAGAGTATGGATAAAACTAGTCCCTCTC